CATCTGGGCAAGCTTCCAGGAGGTCACATACTCATGATGGGCGGGGCCAGAACAAAAAGTGGGTGGAGCATTAAATATAACATTTGCCATTGCTAATCTGTGTAAGAGGGGATCCATGCAATGGTTGCTACAGTCAAAAATGCTTGAAGCTGTAAATCAGTAGAAATGCTAGCTTTATTGATGAACTTCTGAGTCTGAAATAGGGATGGGCGAGTCTGCCATTTTTTGTTTCCCCCCCCAGTTTCTCATTTTCCCAATATTAAGTTAATTTCTCCGCATATCTACATTAGTTTAAGATTTTATTTTATTTTTAAAGAAACGAGTCTCTATGAAACTTCAGGGGCATTTTAATGTGTTTTGGATTCCAATTGTTTCAAGGAATTTAATGCATTTCTATATGTTATTTTCACTAATATTTATTTATTCATTCATTTATTAAAAATTTTCTACGCCACTTTTCGCAAAAGTGTTTTTAAGAGGTGTACAATAACACTTCACAAAACTACGTAAGAAGAAAATCACACAACATGCTACAAGTTGATGCACATTTCCCCTAATATACACATTTGTGTGTACTTTTTTGGTTGAAGTACTGCCTCACAAAATAGGAGGCACGTGAATGTTAAAGGGTAGCTGCGTTGTGGATCATGTATTGTTTTTGAAAGTGTTAATACATTTATTTGTATTAAACTGCAAATTGAGCAGAGTTTCTTCCTTCTCCCTACCTCAGGCAACAATATGTATTTGGATAGAGATCTCTGGGAACAGCAGATCTGGGAAAGTAGGGATACTTAATGGAAAATTCTCATATCCTTCTCAAAATATAAGTCTCAGGATTCTAGCATGGGTGCATGGGAGCCCCTGATGTTAATCCACTATAAAACATATAGGTCTCATCCAACACTGCCGTTCTACTCACACGACAGATTTCTGCTTGTACAATGGAACTTCTGCCTCCCCTCCCCTCTGCGTCCTCAAAATCTGTTCCAAAGGGTTGGAGGATCCCCCAAGAGCAGATTTTGGGGGGTTTGCAAAGAGAAGGAGCAGTCTTACAGGGTGAGTGGAACTGTGCTTGTGCAGTGTAGGAGACAAGCCTATATGTTTATAGAGCAGCACTCACCTCCTTCCATCAGAGCTTTGAATCAATCTGGCGATGAGAGCCGAACATCAAGCCCACCAATTGTCCCGTTGATGATACAACCTGTGCTTTTCTCGGTATAGTGGCTTACATTTATGGGATGTGTATTTAGCATTACCTCTAATATCATTGTCACCTTTACTATGGAATCCACATATATTTACATTCGCATGCTTCCATTGCCAAGCCTGGGCCTCTTTGTAATGAAAATCTATGCAGCGTTTGCACAAGCAGAGAAGCTTGCCATCTGATTTCCATTGTGTTTTGGCGCAAACTTTGATCTTCCGACTCTCAGATGCGAGAGTATGTTGATATTCTTTGGCTCATTTGATCTCATCCATGCATCTGGAATGAAGTCTCCTTCTCATATACATTCTTGAGACCAGGTTAGGCATTTATATGGGAAAAAAATTCAGTTTGGGATTGTTAAGCCTCTTACATTTTTTTATCAGATTCCATGCACCCAGGATACAAATTTATAGCATGGGTTGCTATTATTATTAATTTCCACCCCCCTCCCTTGTAGGGATTATAGCTGAGCAAGAAGCATGAATTTGATAATGGATTTTTCAGCTCTATTTTTCTGAGGTTGTTTTTATTTGAGTTTATGGATCACACGGTAGCTATAAAAAGTCATATTATATTTTCAAGGTCTGTTTCATTATTTATGATGTGCATGCAGAGTTGTCTAGCTAGCGCCTGGTGGATTGAACAAGAACTGAAAGAGACCTGGGGAGAAGCGCTTGAGGAGACCATCACCAGGACTGTAGATGAGAAGACACACACTTCCACAAGGATGTGACAGCAAAGTGTTTTTGTTTAAACCAATAGATATAGGCAGACTATTTTATTTGCTGGTTTCTTGGTTCACATTATTTATTGACAGGTAGGGTTGCCGTATTTCAAACAGTGAAAATCTGGACAGAAAAGTTGTGGAGCTTTTGGGGCTAAATTGCTAATAAAATTGCCGATTTTGAGCTATTTTTTTGGACTGCCTTACGCCCAGATTTTCCCAATTTCCGCCTGGACACAGTATTCTGGACATATGGCAACCCTGCTGTTCCCACCTTGATGTGCATTTCAATCAATTTAAACAACAACAATCAACAAAGTAACTAACCCTAACAGCAAAATTGGCTTGTAAGGGCAGGGTGGGGTGCAGTACTGGCTTCCGGGCAGGAGGGTCACTGTTGCTTATCAAGAGGGAGAGGAAAGTTGGGAGGGAGGTTTGTACTGCACTAATTCCCACATCTTGTCTCTCCCCCTCTCCCAGCCAGGAAGTGATCTCCCTCACCAGGAGAGCCTGAAAGTCAGCAAAAGGACAGTAAAACAAGGCAAAAGCCCATCTTGTCCAGCATTCTGTTCTCGCAAGGGTGGGAAACCTTCTGGTTCATATAAAGAGATGTCTGGAGGGCCATATTTGGGCCCTGGGCCTGAGGTTCTCCATCCCTCAGGATTGGAAGTCTGGAAGTAGAGACACGATTTCACTTCTGGCAGTATTGCAATGGTTGGGTGCCGCTTGATCATGCCTCTCTGGAAACACCCTGTTAATGACTCTGCCCTAGTTTGCCCTGAACTAATAGAAAACTAATTGGGGGCGTTTGCTCTTTTCTGTTCAATGATGGCTTAGATAACCATCACTGAACCAACCAAGATAACCAAGAAGATGATTGTTTAAAGCGTTTTGAAATTGCTCAAGGTATTCAAGTTTTGCAGTTCTTTGAAAGAAGCAGCAAGCCTGTGTCAGTGTGTGATTCCTTTATTGTAAATGGAGCCTTACACGGTCGATTCAGAAGTCCCACTTTATTCAGTGGAGCTTACTCCCAGGTAACTGGATAAAGACTGTGCAGCCTTACACTGCAGTCCTAAGCATTTGTGCTCAGAACTGAGTTCAACAGGATTGACTCTTTGGTACGTCTCTGATCATTCTCACAGTTCCTCCTCCTCCTCCTCCTATTATTATTATTATTCCACCTTTTCCCCTGACAGGGACTCAAGGCAGCTTACAGCTACAAATTAATTTCATTCCATTTATCTGTGGAAGGCGTTGTACACGATCCTTTCCCTCACACATGGTATCTTTACAACAATCTGGTGAGGTAGGTTAGGCAGAGAGGTTGTAATTGGCTCAAGGTGACAGATGTGTATATGATGTCTATGTGTGCCACGAGATCAAACACAGGAGAAGCTTCCTGATGTAGAATAGGTTGTCCCTATTTTCTTTGGAGAAATGTTGGAGGGTATGAAAAGGCCATAGAATGTTAATCAGATGAAGGCCTGTTTTTGCCTGGCACCTAAAGATATTTAATGAAGGAACCAGGCGAGCCTCCCTGGGGAGAGCATTCCACTCTTCAGCCCGTCTCTGCTGCACATTGATAGCACTTGTGTTCAAAATGTTGTCCACCCAGCGCCTAATGTATTAGCCGAACTAGTGAGAAGGCTGGACTGTATTCCATTGAAATTCACAGAGAGATAGAGGGTTCTTAACCACTTTCTGTGTAGAGCTTTTAAAAGTCAAAAATGTTATTTCTTTTCAAACTATGTATACGAAGAGCATATAGCACCCGAGGGGATCCATTAATAAGCAAAGCAGCGGGGGCGGGGGCAGAGAAGAGATGGGCAGAATTTCACAGCATCCTTTGCAAGATTGTTTGTTGACGGAAACTCAGCTCCTTATTAAGAGCGTTCTAGCATAATTTGACTTTAAAAACAATTCCTCTTTCTCCCCTCAAAAGCCACGGTGTTTTTGGTGCTAGTCTTTCCAACATGTTTGTCTGATGGAAGAGTCCTAAGACGTTTGAGAATCGAAAGCAGGAGAATTTTTTTCTTTACTTGACTTTAAAGTGAGTGCAAGAGCAAAGATTTAAGAGCTATTGATGCTTTTTTTTTGTTTTGTTAAAAACAGGTCCCTGTATTTAAATTATAACTTAGGAGAAAGGGTGGGTTTTATACCACCATTTTGATATGAAAACTGGACTCAACATAATGTTCACTGGTATGGCTGCTCTCAACTAGTTGTTGACCGAAATAAAAAAATACTGGTATGACTGCCAACTTATGATTATTAAAATTCACTTTTAACAAACTACAGTTCCCCAGATTCTTTGTGGGGTGCGTGGGGAGAACCATGGCTGTTAAAGTGGTATCACAGTGCTTTACATATATGGGGCAGATGTGGCCTTTTATTCTAGACTTAATGGATTTATGAAGGTCCCCTTCATTATATGGCAATGTATATTACCTCAGTGACTGCAAACTGTGGTAAGCCAGCTCTGGTTATGAACACACAATGATAATTAACCAAGTCAGATGAAAAGTTTCAAGTTAGCAGGGATGCCAACTTGAATAAAATATTGGGGGGGGTGTGGCCCACGTAAGCCCCACTCTGCCTGATCACATGACATGGCACACCACATCATTGGAAAAGCAATGCCCATCAACTTTGGGGCCCCTGACCCCCTCAAATATTTTAGGGGAGGTAAGGGGGTAAAGGCTGCTCTGGCTCGCCAGAAACGGCTTAGTCATGTTGGCCACATGACCTGGAAGCTGTCTGTGGACAAACGCCAGCTCCCTTGGCCTATAAAGCGAGATGAGCGTACAACCCCAGAGTCGTCCGCAACTGGACCTAATGATCAGGGGTACCTTTATGTTTACAGGGACCTGAAGCCCTAGGAGTGGGCTCCTATGGTTGTAAACAAATTAATTGTAAAGAGAATACTTGTGTTGTTCTATTTTATTTTGTTTTTAGCCCTCCTTGTGTGGAATTTCATCTTTGTTTCTTGGAATTTGAAGGTCTGTAGATTACCAATAAAGATGGAAAAGTGGAATGTACCTGAGTCAGCAAGCTGGACCTAATGGGTTTGAGGTACTGGGCCCATCAAGAGGAATTGGGAAAATCACATGTTGAACTTCTAGTATTGCTAAAATTCATCAAGTTGAGGCAACCACCACTGAAGCTTTACCCAAGTAGGTAGAAAAGCAGATACATGAACCTCTTCCCCAAAGATTTTCCCAAAGGTTTGACGAAGTCTTGACATAATCTGCAAAGTGCTTCAGCTTGAAAATGTTTATTTCTGGTTGTGTCCCTTTTGCATGTATTTATTCATTAGTCCGTCCCATATTGTTCCTGCAAAAACCTGCACTAACATTTGCATTTAGAAATTGTAGAGCAATATCTGATGGATAACTATGTTCTGGTCCATGTTTCAGTCCTGGTAGTGCAGATCCTGTCAGTTTGCTCTGAATTTCATAATTCCTCAAGCATCCTTAGCTAGGACTAACTGGAAAGCTAACCAGCTCAACAGAAGTCTTATTACTGGTCTGGAAAAGTAGCCTCTTTTTCTGAAATTTAATTTGGTCTTCCCTTCTTTTGAATGCTTTCCCCTGTGAGCTGTCCGGACGGCACAGAAAGCAAAGCATATACAGACTTAGATATCTGTACCCAAGTGGAAATAATGTTTTATGAGAAGCAGACGTAAATCAGTGCAGTTACTGGAGTAAATTGGCCTAGTATAATATAAACTCAGCTATTTATTTTACTTTATTTTGCATTTCTTTCATGCTGCCTTTTATTTGGGGAGGGGCAGTGACGATCTTGTGAATCAAAAGATGCTTATATATGCAAGGGAGTGGGGGGAAAGTGCTTTAGCTTTGTTTCAGTCTATCAAGGGAAAATAGGTACACACACACAAAAGTGCGTATTACCATATTGACCCTATTTATTTTCACAGCAGGTGCAAGATAGCTTGCGCTATCAATGACCACTGGAAACAAAGACGGGCAGAAGTGTGAACTTGCTTTCACCTCTTATAATTCCACAGTGGTCTCAGAGGTTAATGCATAAAATAATTCAGGTCACCATGACTTGAAACCACCAGACCATGGAAGCCTCCTTCAGAGCCAATCAGGCCTAACGTGCAGTATTTTAGACCGCCTGCGTACTTGTGCCTGGATCAGATATTACTGGTTTTTCAGGAGATCATACGGCAGGGGAATAAATGGCACCTTGCCCAAGAGCACTTGGTGAACTTCATGGTGAGTAAACTGCAACCCTAACCTCTCTTCCGGGTTTCCCATTGACAGCTTGCTAGTTACTGTGAATCACAGAATCATAGAGTTGACCAAGGGTCATCTAGTCCAACCCCCTGCAATGCAGGAATCTCAGCTAAAGCATCCATGACAGATGGCCATCTGCTTATAAACCTCCAAGGAAGGAGAGTCCACCACCTCTCTTGGGAGTCTGTTCCACTGCCAAACAGCTCTGACTGTCAGAAACTTTTTCCTGATTAGTCGGAATCTCCTTTCTTGTAACTTGAAGCCATTGGTTCGAATCCTACCCTCCAGAGCAGGAGAAAGCAAGCATGCTCCCTCTTCCATGTGACAGCCCTTAAGATATTTGAAGATGGCTATCATATGGAGTTTGGATTTGGATTTGATATCTCGCTTAATCACTACCCGAAGGAGTCTCAAAACGGCTAACCTTCTCCTTTCCCTTCCTCCCCCACAGCAAACACTCTGTGAGGTGGGTGGGGCTGAGAGACTTCAGAGAAGTGTGACTAGCCCAAGGTCACCCAGCAGCTGCATATGGAGGAGCGGAGACGCGAAGCCGGTTCCCCTGATTACGAATCTACTGCTCTTAACCACTACACCACACTGGCTCTCCTCTCAGTCTCCTCTTTTCTAGGCTCTACAGGCTAAACTTAACATCCTGTGAGGACAGGATACTAGAATAGATGGGCCTTTGCCTGATATAGCAGGGCTATTCTTGTGTTGTTTGTTGTTGTTGTTGTTGTTGTTGTTGTTGTTGTTGTTGTTGTTGTTGTTATTTCTACTCCACCCATCTGACTGGGTTCCCCAGCCACTCTGGGTGGCTTACACATAAACACATTTGCCATTTTAAGCTCCCTCCCTCCCTTTCCTACATTTACATCCAACATTTCCACCAAGGATCTCAGAGTGGTGCACATAGTTCTTCTCCCCACTTTATGCACACAGCAACCCTGTGAGGTAGGTTAGGCTGAGAGTGAGTGACTGACCCAAGGCCACCCAGTAAGCTTCATGGCTGAGTGGGGATTCGGACCCTGGTCTCCCTGGTCCTAGTCCAATACACCAACCATTACACCACACCGATGGAACCTCCAGCTGTTTCTGCTAACCGTGCTGGCTGGGGCATGCCCTCCAATACAAAGCGGCCCCAAACCGGGACGCCATTTTCCAGGGCCACACTCTCACATGAGTCATGTGTCCTGTCTGAGAGCGCAGCCCCCCAAAAGTGCTTTTGTGCGTTTTGGGGTGCTGCGCAAGATTGCTGCCCCCAGCACTTTTTTCATGGCAAAAGTGTGGTCTGAAATTGTGTGAGATATTTTGGCCACTGTCTTCATGTGAGAGAAAAAAATGGGGTGTCCCATTTCCCCCCTCAGCACAGTTGACAGGTATGCCAGGGTTTGGGATGGCCGACCTACTTCATGAGCACCTTCCCCTGCCCCAATGATTTTTGATTTCATTGTGAGTTTGGCTACTAGTGGCATGATCCAGGTCATGTTAACTCCCAGATGTTTCAAGCAGTTACTTATATTTCGCCTGCTGAAACCAGTAGGACTTCCAAGGGCTTCGCTTTGGCTGGGATGTACCCGGCTTTGTATTCTCTGCAAAGCTGTGCTGCAATATTGTCCTTTCAAATCAGCCATGCCACTTGCTCTGGGACATCCTTACAATGTCCTATGGAAGGACAAACATGCACAGATGTTCTCCACTCTATTCTTTCTCTATCTATCCTGCAGCACTCTTGCCCGATGTGCTCTGAAGCCAGTCACCCCTCCTTTAAAAGGTTTGGCTCAGGGCAAAGCGACAGCAGCTGTGAGGCAGGTGAAGGGTTAACCTAAAGCATGCAGCTGCTAATGTTAGTTTCGGAGGCAGACCCAAGTCTTCAGGGATAATCTATCCAGGCAAGATCTGACATGAGATGTGACATTTACTATCCAGCACAGCTAAGGCCGTCGGGGATGTTATCAGGAGTGACTGAAGACACCTCTTCTTGCCTCTCTTCCTTTATGCCTTCTGTAAATGAAGTTACTTCCTGGTTGTTTTCAAAGCATCCCCAACCATTGGCCCTGCTGGCTAGGGCACAGCATGGTGGGAATCCCAAAACATGCTAATGATTAAGTGGTATGTAAATGCTTGCAGTGCGGGTGGCGCTGTGGTCTAAACCACAGAGCCTAGGACTTGCCAATCAGAAGGTTGGCGGTTCGAATCCCCGTGACGGGGTGAGCTCCCGTTGCTTGGTTCCAGCTCCTGCCAACCTAGCGGTTTGAAAGCACACCAAAGTGCAAGTAGATAAATAAGTACCGCTCCAGCGGTAAGGTAAATGGCATTTCCGTGCGCTGCTCTGGTTTCTCCAGAAGCGGCTTAGTCATGCTGGCCACATGACCCAGGAAAACTGTGGACAAACGTCGGCTCCCTCAGCCAATAAAGCGAGATGAGTGCCACAACCCCAGAGTTGTTCACGACTGGACTTAACCGTCAGGGGTCCTTTACCTTTACCTTTTTAAAATGCCTTAAATAAACAAATGAATGTCTGGAGGACCACAGGTTTCCTATCTGTGGGTTAGTGTGTACGATGGAGATGGGGGACTGGTGGCCCTTCAGATGTTGCTGGACCACAAATCCCAGCATTCCCTGCCCATTGGGTCATTCTGGCCCCTGGCTGATGGGAATTGGAATTCAACATCTCCTTGAGGGTCATAGGTTCTCCATCCCTGGTGTAGGATTCAGACTGAGGTGATCTAGATTCAGATCCCCACTCTGCTATGAAGCTTACTTGCTAACCTTGGGGCAGTGTTCCTCACTTTTGCCTGCATTGCAGGGTGGCTATGGGGATAGGAGGTGGGAAACTTTGAGCTATTTAGAGGAAAGGTGGGATGTAACTGAGGGCTCCACATTTCTGATTGTCCCTTGCTTTTTTTAAGGCACAGTACCAAGAGATATTTCATTTGCCCCACCACTTTTCCCAGGAAAGCTCACTGATTACCACTGAACTGGAACAAATGTCAATCTGCAGAAAACCTGATTGATGAGTGTTTTGATTCAGCAGGACGAAATAAAAATCTCTTGGACATGGAAAGGACAGGACAATTGTGGATGAGCCGGGAGAGAGCACCTCATCTGTTATGTATGCAGGAGGTCACTGCAGTCTGTGAGAGAGGGTCTCATTGAAGAACCAAAGATCTCAGAAGTCTGCTCTATGATAACTCAGAACAGGGTTTGGAATATTATGAAAACTATGAAAAAGAAAAGAGTGCGTCCGCCTCCGTTCTATGAAACAGCCCACTCCCTTCACTTTTTAGAAACGATGGAAAATACCTTCGTTCTAACAGTTTTTCCCAGCTGGATGAATGGGTCTCCCCAAGAGGCATCCATTTGGTGGAAACTAAATTTTACTCATAGTGGACCCATAGAAATTAATGGACCTAACTTTGGACTATATGGAACTTGCCGAACTGACCAGAGAGAAGAGACGGTGGAAGAAGCTTGGAAGAGGTTTAAAGAATATTTGAAAAAATATGTTACTATTTAAATCTTAGAATAGCTTTGGAAGTGGATATAGGCTGTAGGGTTAGAAGTAGGAGATAGTGTATTTTAAAATAGTATTATTTGTAAGTGATAAAATGTGAAGATTTTTATGGTAAAGGTAAGTGTGATTAAAAAAAGGTTAAAATTATGATATATGTAAACTGCTAAAGATGAGGGAAAATGAAAATCAGATAGGGGGGACTTGGGGAAGTTCACCTAACAATGTTTAGAAAAAATAAGGATAAGACAAGAATTTGTTTGTATTGTTTGTTTTTCTGTTTGTGTTGTTTAGTTGTGTTATAAAATGAATAATTTTTTTTGGAAAAAAATATTAATGGACCTAACTTGGTCATGTTCATTAATTTCAGTGCGTCTGCTCTGAGTAAAACATAGTTTGATCCCACACATAATTTTGCACAACAAGATGAGTTCTGGGTGGAAGGTGAACTGCAGGGGAACAGAAGCACGGCTGTGTGTGATATACTGTATATAGGGCAGAATGGAAAACGTTGCTTTCTTACATCCCTTGCAGGCAATGTTGAGTAAATGTGTCACATGCCTGAATGAAATCCATTTTTGGAGCCAAATTCCTTTAGTTTTGCATGGCATTCATTTGAGAGGACACGGGAAGCTGCAAAGTTCTGGAGCAACCAAAGTTGGCTCGCTTTTCCTCCTGATGTGCCTCCTGCGAACTCCTAGAATGGAATTTGTGATGTTACAATAATTTATTTGCCAAGAGAGTGTGCTGAAATAAACAGAGGATTATTGTGACCCCCCTTTTTTAAGTCAAGCGCACACACGCACACAGAGAGAAAGGAAACGAGGCTGTGAGAAAAGTGGGAAGAAAGCTTACATGCAAAAATTAACACCATCAGTAATTAGCGGAAATAATGAGGGAAGAAAAGGAAAAAGAGCAGGTCAAAGCACTTGCTGTGCAGCTTAAGAATATATCCCTTCATGTGGCAGTGAGAGAGATCTTCCACAGGCACAGTTAATAGGAAGAATCCTCAATGTACATCCTTGAAAATATAGAGCGTGCCACTGCTACCTTCAAGGGAAATTCAGTTGGTCCTCTAATCCAAAAGGTTATTGTGTTTTGTCAGTGATTGGTGCTTTGTAACCCCAGACAGTATCAGCACCCCAGTTAAACACCAGAGGGACACTAAAGGAAACATTTCCCTGGAACAGCCTTCCCCACACCTGGTGCCACCCAGATGTTTCGGATGAGAACTATCAGCCGCAGCCAACATGGCTAATGGTCAGAGGGATGGTGGGATTTGCACTCCAGCAGCATTTGAGCTGTGGAAGGCTATTCTAGAAGTCTGCAATAGAAATGAAACAGGGCAGTGGACAGTGGGGTGGCAGAGGAGAGAGCACTTGCCTTATGCCCTAAGGTGGGCTTCCAGAAGCATCTGGCTACCCATTATGAGAAACAGGAGAAAGCCTTTGGTCTGACCCAGCAGGATTCTTCTCTATCCAGAATATTGTGTGATAAATTTTTTTTTGCTTCTAGTTTGAAGAACCAAAGAGCAGTCAACACAATAGCTTAGCTATATGATGGCAAAGAGAGTTGTAGGACTGGCTGGCTTGACCATCACTTGATCCATGGATGCGCCATCCAGACACACTGACTCCTGTCCCCAGTGTCTTTGTTGCTTCTGACACCTGTGTCGCAGGCTGAGGATTGATTAATTGGGAACACTGCCACAAAGAGGCAGAGAGGGCGGACTCAAATGGAGCCTAAATGGGGCCATGAAGTGAAAAAGAAAGGGCAGCCTTAGCATCCTCCAGGAAATCAGGTTTGTAAAAGTACACATGGACATAAAAAAAGATCTATGGGGCACCCTCCCCCACCAAACATCTTCATAAGGACTACACATGTTAAGTAACCACAAAATGTTCCATTGGAAAAGAAAAGTGGGGAAAAAGTGGTAGGCTGGGTGGAACAGAATGGAGTCTCTGGGAGAGACCAGTTCCTTGTTGTTGGCCTAATTTTAGTGCTCCTATTTATTCTTACTGCCCCAAGGGAAAAGCAGTGGTGCACCTTCTTATTGGTGGCCCATTGGTTCTGAATGCCTGGCTAGGCCTTGCAGGTGTGTCATTTTTATCCAACGTATGCTGCCGTCTGCCAGTGATCTGGGGATGGTCCTAAAGAATCAATCGGTTATCAGGCCAAATGGCATGTTTTTCACCACCTTGCAAAAATAAAAGGCTTTTTTTTGGGGGGGGGTGTCACAGTTGTTTGAGGCTCCAGCTGAAAGCTTTTCTCACTGCTTTCAAAGCATTGAAGCTGTGCTTGTCACCTCTCGCTGCAAATTTGGACGAAGCTAGCCATATGGCAAGTGGAAAGCTTCCACCCGTGATGCTTTTCTGCTAAATGAGGATTTCTTTCGAAGGTACTGATTTCACACGCAAGTCTCTGGAGTAATGCGCAATGTTGTCAAGAAAGGCTGGCAGTAGTTGCCAACAGCCTGTTCTGAATTCCCAGGAGAGGCCTACCTCCACCTCCACCTTGGGTCTACCTGGCTGTTTTTAATCCCTCTTTGTCACCCTCTCTTCAAGAAAGATGCCGTGCTGGCTGTGTCGAATCCTGAGCCGTCTCGTCAGCAACTGTTCCACCAGGCCGTTCCCTGCAGTGTGGTCTCTCTGGAATTTCCCCTGAATAATGCTCCAATTTGCTCCTGGAAGCTTCCGATGAAATCTCCCCATTCTCGAAACTATGTTGTGTTCTTGTAAATAGCCTACTGGAGCCAAGATATCTGCCAGAGTGCGATTTTATGGTTGTATAAACTCCAGTTGTCATTTATTTCCGTTGTTTTATGTTACAATGGGAGCTTACCTTCTTGATAGCGAAGTCAAAAAGGATTCTTGAAATCTGCAAGCATTTCTCCGAGTGTGAACAACAAGGCTTGGCTTTATAAGTGCTTTTGTATTTTCACACAAGGCACCCAAGGATGTTTGTAGAGGTTTAGAAAATTGCATGGAGGGAAAGGGGAATTATTTCTCCGTCTCTTTTTGTACTAAGAAGTCTTCCATTGAATTTGATTGGACTTGGGAAGGATTGAAGAAGCTCTTCTTGCAGCAAAGAGTCCACTTGTGGAACTTGCTTCAACAAGATGTACTGATGGCCCTAGATTAGGTGCCTTTCAAAAAGGATTCAACAAATCCTTGGAGAACAGGTCTATTGGTTAAGCAGCTGGAGGCCCAAAGGCAATATTCTTTGGAGATGGATGCTTCATCTCCTTTCATTTTCTGTTTCAGCAAGACCAAGGCTAGACTGGGTGGAAGCTGGCTCTTGGAGCCCACCAGCTCATGAAGATCCCACTGCTGATTACTTTCAGCACTGGGCAATGGGCTGTAGTTGGTGGTGAAACAAGGGTCAAACCATAGGTTTAGGCACTGGGCTGAGGGAATTGGGTGTCACAATTCCTGAGACGAGATGTACAGGTGATGCCCCTGGTTGCCACAAGATGTACATGCTCAGGGGATGGGACCACCAGGAGGGTCTGACCTGCAGGTCTCAATGAATGGGCAGGCTGGGATGTGAGAAGGTGCTCCCTTAGGGAATCGGGTCCCTTTTTATGTGAGTTGCAATATTCTTGTAATATTTTGGGTTGGGATATTGTTGAGTGAGATTGGTTTATGTATGAGATCTAGTGGTCTTAGCAAACCACAAGCTCAACATGCATCAGCAGTGTGATGCAACAGCAAAAACAGCTAATGCTTTTCTAGGTTGCATAGTCCAGATCAGGGGTCAGCAACCTTTTTCAGCTGTGGGCCGGTCCACTGTCCCTCAGACCATGTGGTGGGCCAGACTATATTTTGAACAAATTCCTATGCCCCACAAATAACCCAGAGATGCATTTTAAATAAAAGCACACATTCTACTCATGTAAAAACATGCTGATTCCTGGACTGTACATGAGCTGGATTGAGAAGGCGATTGGGAACCTTCTGGCCCCCAGGCCTTAGGTTGCCTACCCCTGGTCCAGATCAAGGAAAGCAATAGTTCAGCTGTATTCTGCCTTGGTCCTGAACCAAGGCTTCAATTAACAAGAAAGGAGACTCCAACTAAACATCAGGAAGAACTTTCTGAGGGTATGAGCTGTTCAACAGTGGAACAGTCTTCCTCGGGAGATTGTGGACTCTCTTCCATTGGAGGTTTTTAAGCAGAGGTTGGATGGCCACCTGTCATGGATGCTTTAGATGAGATTCCTGCATTGCAGAGGGTTAGACTCTTGGTCATCCAATTCCTGCATTGCAGAGGGTTGGACCCTTGGTCATCCAATTAGGACAGAGCTCTTCACTTTTGGGTCTCCAGACATTGCTGAATTATGGTCAAAATACCATCTCCTTTCTTATATACCCAACCAAACGCTGCATTCTGCAGAGAGGGCATTCTGCAGATACCGTCTTATCAGGAGATCTGCTCTGCATGATGTCGGAGTCGGGACTTTTGTGTGGTGGCACCTACCCTGTGGAACTCCCTCCCACCACATCAGACAGGCACTGCCTCTATTGTCTTTTTGGCATATGTTGAACATTCTCCCCTTTCAACAAACCTCCTAAGTGGTGCTTTTTAGGTTAGTTGGTATCTATGTTGGACTTGAAACAAGTTTTATATATGTGACTATTTAAAGTGGTTTGGTAGTTTTGTTTTTAATATATGCAGTTGCCTGATATGGCATAGTGGAATCACTTTGAGATGCTTCATCGGAAGCAACACATAAATGATGTTGATAATAGTAATGATAATATCACTCCCGTCCTCGTTGACCATTGGCTAAGCCGGCTGGGGACCCAAGGCTGAAGAAGGCTAATTTTAGGGCTTTATTTGTCAACAAGACCACCTTGGAAGTGCTCTGGTTACAATTTTATG